AAAAAAAAAAAAAAAAAAAAAAAAAAAAAAAAAAAAAAAAAAAAAAAAAAAAAAAAACAAAAGGAAACAAAGGATGAGTTTTAAAAACCCATCTTTTACATAGGATTTTTTATATCTGAGAAAAGACTGCTTCCCATGCAAAGTTTTAAAATCCTTCTCCAAACATGGTTCACAAAACTCTTCCCACTTCCCTTTCCTTTTACCATCCCAAAACGTAAAACAAACGGCCCAATCCCCTAGATATACGAAAGAAGCTTGTAGAGGCTTTGTCTAAAAAGACTTCAAGACTATGGAAAACAAATCGGAATTTATCCCATCAAAAGTTGCTATTTCGTCCTCATCTACGTTGCCACTAATGGTTCAGATTGATCCTTTTTTGTCATTTCAAATTACTTGGTGGGTTTGTTTTAAAAGGGTTCATGGAAAAGGGCCGTCGCTGGAGTATTCCCGGTTCGTCTCCTTCAGAAATGCAACCCCATTGCTAACAAGTCTCTATCCCCCAATCCATCGTGTCTATCGCCGACACCACTGTCCTTTTTTGTCTTCCTTTACCTGACATTTCTACTGTACAGCCACCATCGGTGTACCTAATAGCTGACCCACCCTCCCTAAGCAATGATAACTCTTTTGTCCCCTCCTATCAAAGCTCGTCCCCCTCATGGACCAAAAATCCCACGTCTCCCAAAAAGGCCCGAGACTAGTACATAAAAGCTAGGCTAACCTCCTAAAACTATGAAGCCCATTTCTTCCCCTTTGCCTCAGTTGCTTGTCCAAATCCAACCCCACTTGCCATCACCACCATCCATGCTCAACATAAATTACCCGATCTCTCGCCTTTCGCCCTTCACCTGAAAATTTAGCGGTGACCATTAACCACAAAAATAGATGATGATTTTTGTCTCTAGCACTCTCCCTCTCTCTTCTACTCCACCATCCTTGGTATGGTAGCCTAAAAAACTCCTCTCCCTTCCTCTAATGAACAAATTCAATTAGCAAATACCGAGGTTGGCACCCTCTTTCTCGACCCCGAGCCTGAATTAGAAGAGGAGCTACAGCCCCCTGACCCATTTCACCTGCTGAGGCCATGCATGTTATTGTTCCTTGGTTACAGGAGTATCATTTGTGCATTATGCCTAAACAACCTCCAATAAGAGAACCAAAATAGTACAAAAGCAGAAGAAGATGGTTAGAGAGCTTGCAGGCCCCGTTACCAATGTGAACTATGGCCAATCGTCATCTAAGCTCTCGAAGGGTGGCAACCCCATTTTACGATCGTTATTTCTTGGAATGGCGGAGGCGTTGGAGATAGCTAAAAAGGACTTTAATCAAAACTTTTCTCCTCAGATTAAACCCCACTTTGGTTATTCTTCAAGAGACTAAGTTGCATACCACCGATAGATGGAGAACCAAATCTCTTTGGAGTGGAGCATATTAGCTAGACATCCATGGATGCTGCTAGTGGCTCCTCGTGGGGTATTCTCATCAGGTGGAACGATTCCGTGTTATCTTATCTCTGAGGTGACCAAAGGTTCGTTTACACTTACCACACACCTGACCCTCCCAGATGGCTATCAATTTTGGATCACTGAAGTTTATGGCCATTCTAGGAACATGAAGAACTAGAGATGAATTCAATCAGAACTGGCTCTTAATATATAGAGTACGAAGCCAAACTGACTTCTTGACATTTCCATTCTGCTTTCACAGCTTTCTTGTTTCGTTATTTCTACCCCAAGTTTATGGGAAGGCTACCACTAGAAAGAATGATGAAAACTATTTCTATACTCTTCATTCTTATCTTCAAAAGATAACAAATTAAAGAGAAAGCTAAACTGTTATCCATTGCTTGTAACATGTTTCACCTTGCGTTGCTAGAATATTGTCCAAAAACAATTTGCTGGACTCATCCGTATTCAACCAGAATGCTACTCAAAATGGAAATTGCTGAGTGTATAAATTAGAGGCTCATATTCCTTCTCTTCCAGACATTCCAACAAATAGATTATATGCTCTACTGGACAAATAAGACAATCAATACAAACTCTTAAGACAAAATCACAACAACCGCAAACAAATACTTCTCCCTCATCCTCATCATTAAACCGGATGATGATTCTTCCTCGATTGAATTTCACAAAATGCAACAAAAAAAAACAGAGAGATAAAAGACAAAATAATCTTAAAATAGAACAGGAGCTTACCAGAGGACAAGCAACAAACAGCGTCCAGCACCGGAGGCGAGAAGGAGTAGAAATAGAAAGAAAAGGAAAAGAGAGAAGAAGCATGGCTCCATCGAAGTACATGATTTCGGAGCTGACAGCTGAATCAAAACGAAGCCGCGGTTTCATCTCCGGAAGATGAAGGATCGCCCCCTCTAATGGCGGAGTGATGAAGAAGAGGCGCGCGCGCGCATTGGAATTGGAAACTGCAATTTGTTGAGTTAAAAAATAATAATATAAATTTGGTAAATTAATTTTTTGCGAATTTTAATTATTTTATTCTCTTATAAAAATTATAAATATATTTATTATATGAAACAAAAAATAAAAAAAATAAAACAGTGTCTTTGTTATTAAATTAAATATACAATGTTTTTTACCGGAAGATATCTGAAGTGTTCATAATCTCACTCTTTATTTGAACTAAAAGAACGTTCATCCTTCAAACCATGAAGAACAAGAGGAATGTTGAGAAGTAAAATGAAGTGATAATTGATCATTTCTTTAAATTAAGAGAATTGTAACTATAATTTGAGAGAGAGAGGGAAGAACAGAGTGAGAATTTTCAGGGTCTAGGAAGGAAGTGGATGAGTTAGACCGAGGATTCGGGCGGCAAAAAAGATCGCAAAGAGCACTACTATTTATGGCGCTTTTAGATTTGCCCGATTTAACTTTCCTGGAAACATGTTATGGAGCCCTTCCACATTTTTCGAGTTTGATTTCCTCACAGACAAGAAGCAACTGGATCGAGAAAAATCCGAAAATTCTTCCTCATTCGATCTCTTGCGTTGAACAGCCGGGTAAGTTATTCAGATTGTTATCTTACTTCATTTGGATTTTCATTTGCATTGCTCTCCGATGGATTAAAGGAGTTGTGGATTTCTGAAGTGATTTTCAAAACGTGAATGGAAGTGCATTAGAACAGAGCGATTGAGATATATGAAATACGCCAGTGATTTTGAGCTCTACTGAAATGTCAAAAAAAGTTACGGTCTATATCCATGTCTGAATTTAGGGTTTGTGTTTGTGTCAAATTTTATGGAGTGATATTTTGTGAGTAGATAAAGATTAGATGGAAGATTGCAAGAATGGCACAAGAATATCAAACTCATGATAATGGTGGTGGTGATGGTAGTTTAGGGTTTGGTTCCAATAGGAAGTCAAAACAAAGGAGAGCTCCTCAAAGAGGGCTAGGTGTTGCACAACTTGAAAAGATCAGGCTAGAAGAACAGCAAAAGAAAAATGCTACTGCAATTTTTTCACCCTCATCTTCTTTATCACCTGCCAAGATCTCCTCTAAGCTATCTGTATCAGCTCCAAATTTGCACCCCATAAAGCAATCTTCCTGTTCTGTTCCACTTGCCTCTCTATCTCCATCCAATTTTGTTTTCAAGTCACCTTTGCCTAGTATCAATATTGATGATACAAGCATGAACAGTAGTACTGCACTGATCCAGTTGAATAATGGTGGTTTCGAGACGACGGATATGCCTGTACTTGGACAAGGAGAGGTCCCTAAAACATGGAATCCCCTAGAATTCAATCTTCAAAAGGATAATTGTATCTCCGATTTCAACTTTGGATTTCGATCGAATTTCGTTTTGACCAATGAAGCCAACATTGATTGGCCTTCCCAAGGATTGGTGCAAAAAGAACAGCTACATCAGCTATCTTCCTCTGCAGGGGTAATTATCCACTTTTGGTTTGTTTGTCTTCCAGATTTCCATTTAAATATAAAGTAGGACTTCAAAAACCATTATATGAAGGATATTTATATGAAATGTACAGGTGGATGTGTCGTCGTCATCGTCCCTGCTAAACTTTCTTACAGAGCCCCCTTCAAACCAAAGCTATTGTGGCAACTACACTGCAGTGTGGCCAGAGGTACTAAGGTTCATTCAACTTAAACATGTCAATGCCATAGCACTAACAACTTGTAAGAAGCTTTGCTATTGGGATAAAATTCTGTAGATTTTAGTCTTCAACTAGTCCCTCCTGATTGAACTGTGGAAATTTTAGCTTCTGTAGTTCACTTATCTTTGAATAGTGCATGTTAGGCTAGCAGATACCTTTTGCATTTCAAATGAGAATGCATGGACTCGTCATAAAAGACACGATGAGTCGAAGACTAACTTAAAATATGGTAACGAACAGTCACGAGTTGAACATAAAAGCTATAGGTTTGGGTCATATTGAATTTCCGATATGTTCAAAATCAAAAAACCGAACAAGCGAATGCTATGATCTTTAGTGAATATATTCATGTGTGGTTGTAGATGTTCGGCATGAAGAGACCATATGCCTTGTCTATGGACATCCCTGCAAGCCCTACTTTCAACAGCAGACCTCCTATGGCTGCTCCTATGAGATCAGATGAATCCGCTTCTTGTAGTAACGTTGGCTTCTATAGTTATCCGTTTATCGGGTTTGTCATATGTTCATCTTGTTTTCCTTTCAACACTTTCAATTATCAAATGTGTTTTAAGTGAGTCTAAATCGTCTGTCTCTTACTATTCAGAGAAGGTCCATCTTGTTCGTCTTCATCCTCGGAACCAAATTCAAGGAAAAAGTTGAAAGGAAATACTTTTAGAGGAGATTTACTCACACTAGCCACTCCAACAACTACATGGATATGCCAAAGCTCAAAACTCAAGCACCTTTCAGCTCATGCTGTGGATAGTAACCATGAGTTTGCAGATCTCATATCACTACCTCGTCGAGTAAGAAAAACAGCAAAAATGATATCCATTTCGAGTTGTTAGTGCACCGAGGTCGTGTTTCCTTCTGCATTCTGATAATTTTTGCTGTTTTCGTCGATTTGTTGAAGGGAAGCGTGGAGATCCCAACTTATCCCCATCCAAAACCGAGTTGGTCCAATCGACTTCAGCCATACTACCGCTTTTTCCCTCCAGAAATGGCACAAAGTGGCCAGGCATCCCCCAAAACTTCGGGCAGATTCAATATTGAAGATGGAAGTGTTGATCTTAATCTGAAATTATAAACACCACAGTTTGTACCTGTTGCTTTTGGAACCTTTTTGCAGAGTAGTCCATATGTTTGAGATCATAAGAATGGTATGTTCAAGTTTCTTTCCTTACTCAGATATACTTTATGTTTTAGCTAAATCAGCAAGCATGCAAAGGCTTAAAAAACAAGTAGTAAATTGAATATATGCTAGGGAGAGAAATTTGTAAACATCATCTTAAGCATAACGTGATGAGTTATAAAACACGTAGAAATGTATTAGGGTCGGATAATTGTCTTGTGAGAATAATTAAGGTGTATGCTATCTAGCCAAATACTTGCAGATATCAAAAAACGACGAGTCAATCGTATGTTCAACTAGAAATGTAGTAGGGTCAGATAGTTGTCTCGTGATAATAGTCAAGGTATATGCTATTTAGCCAAACACTTGTAGAAATAAAAAAATGATGAGACAATCGTATGTTCAACTAGAAATGTGATAGGGTCAAACAGTTGTCTCGTGAGAATAGTCAAGGAGTGTGCTATCTAGCCGAACACTTGCAGATATCAAAAAAATGACGAAACGATGGTATGTTGCATCTTTGATGAGTATGGAAAGATCTATATTCTTCAATCATCCCGATCATCTTCCTATCACTATTTAATGAACGATAAGGTTGTTATTGTATTCTTTTCTTTTGACAATGATGAATTGGCATTAGTAAATAATGAGATAATTTCAATCAAAATTGAAGGATAATCTCTGTCTACGTGGTTTAAATTTCGAATAGTTTTAAGTACAAAATACATTAGGAAAATTTTCAATTCTTACCCCTAAAACTCATCAATTTAAACCAGACTAAACAATTGCTACAATTTCACCTACTAATTTAAACACAAACTAATGTGAAAAACCCTCATTTTTATTCAATTTTGAATTTTGTTTACGTTTTATAATTCATTAAAAGCAAAGAAGATATTCTTTTGAACGATTTTTTCAAAAGTAAAAATTAACACTTTTGGATGAAAATGACAAAAAAAAATTCAAATAATCAACGAATTTGCATAAAATCATATTCTTTTTAGTTTCCATAATGTTTTTTTAACAGAACACAGAGAATAACCACACCTTGGAAAAGAAATCTGTGCAATAGTTCTATCAAACATAAGTAGACTTCTAACCCATCAGCCTTCTCCATATCTTCAAAGAGGACTTCACAAAAGGAAAAACAAAAAAAAAACTCATATGGGTAGTAGATTTTCTGACCATAAAGAATCATTTGATGATACTAAAGATCGGGGGCAAGGGAAGAGGCACGGAATCAAGGCGCAAGGGGGGACCTCCCTTGAGCTAAGGTCAGATCAAATATTTACTATTGAAAGATTAACAAATGTAGGCATTACCAGAGTAAAGAAGTTACAGCAAGAAGATTCATCATTTTGTCGTAATTTATTATTATTTTTTATAAGATTCATAATTTTATTCTTATATGTACACTTTGGATGGAAACTTTTTCATGAAATCCATGATGTTCATCCAATATTATATCTACACAGTCTGTCTTCCATTTTCAACATCAGTTTTTACCTTCTGTGGATCCATGTCTCTAGTTGTTCCTTCACTTGTGAAATGAGATTTCAATCCTATCCAGCATTGGTAGTAGTCATGATCCATGCATGGAGACTCCAGAGCCCAAGAGCATACGCGAGGGATCAGACTTGATTCAAACATAAATGCCATTGTGTCGGTGATTCGATAAGGTCCAGCCTCGTTTCCTCGAGCAATAGTGGCCTAAATCAAGAGAATGCTTACTGACTTTTCGTCGAATCATAAAAGGAATGGTTTAAACTAAAAGTATACACTGTTGGAAGAATGAGAAGATCCATTTGTAGCTTTCCAAGTAAACTTCCATGAGTTGACATAGTGGGCAATAAGGATCATGTAATCTATAAAGGGCTTAGAGGTTTTAGAGGGAATCCGGTCATGCCACAATGACTACTTCTCTAGAATTAAATACCTTACAACTACGAAATGCCACCAGAGAATCTTGTGAAGAAGAAAGTTTGAATGTGGCGGAAATTAAATGAATAATGGAACTTAAAAGAAGCAACGCATACCTCGTATGTTTTAGTATCAGGGCCATGGGGAGTCATGCAATTATGAAGGCTGGCACCCCCAGGAAGGAACCCATCAGCTTTTGCCTGAAAGATGAATCAGAAATTCTAAAGATCTAGGGAAAAAAATACATTACTGGAATTAAGGTAACAGGCAAAAAGAGGCTTTTGCGACCTTATAAGGCAAGTAGAGTAATAATAAAAGATGCAACTTCGCTTCCTTCCCATAAATATTTTGGTTCATTCAGTCTCTTTATCTAAAGCGAGACGATGAAAATTACCTCGTAGCCTCCATATATGAGACCCATGAATTCACTCATGCAGTTGCGATGGTAATATGGGGGGCGGAATGTGTGTTCAGAGACGAGCCATCTTGGGGGGAAAATGACAAAGTCGAGTAACGCTACTCCGGGTTTATCAGTTGGTGCCGTTAATACTACAACAGGGCAGCAACATGATAATTCAGATAGGCGAATAAAACACTTGAAATTCAATGAAATGTCAAGGATTTTAAAGCAGTATATTTAAAGCGAAATAAATTAGTGCATTATATGTATGTACCTGTATTTATTGATGGATCACTGTGATCAAATAACACAGTATTGTAAGGGCAGAACTTACTAAGATCGTACTGCAAGGAGAAGGATCAACTTTCAGTTATATTGAGGTGGAATTGGCACACACGTGCAAAGATAAGAAACATTAGTCTATAATAAGACATAAAACAGCAAAAAGCCTGAAAGAAAGTATAGACAAACTTATTTTTAATTCCACAAAAAGAAACCAAAGTTAAGCTATACTCAATGGCATACGCAACACCCACCTTATAGGGAACATAATTACCATGCCAGGCAACTACATTAAAGGGAGAAAAGTCCTGTATTGCAGTAAAAAATTCCCCACCATATTTTTGCACAATTGTGTAACCGGGACGAGAAAGATTTTCAAACCAGGCTACAGGGGCAAGAAAATCCCTTGGTGCAGCAAGACCATTAGCACCTACATGTCAATGAACTTAGCCCTCAATATTACATTAGTTGAAAATGCAAAACTCAGAAAACCATTTCCCAATGTTGGGGAAAAAAAGGAAAAGAATGTGGTCAAAACCTAAATAAATGGCTGTCGAGAAGATAATAAGAGGTTAGATACCTATTGGTCCGAGATCAGGAAGCTGAAAATGACTGCCAAAAATCTCAGCTACGTAGCCACGTGATGGACCATCAGGCAGATAAACAACAAAGCGAAAACCTTGAGGTAAAACCACTATTTCACCAGGAGAAACTTCCAGTCTTCCACACTCGGTAATAATCCACAGCCCTATGGAATAAGAATATTCTATAAGAGTTTGATCCTGTTTCCTTAGAACTTTTAAGACAGGAATATAGTTTCCTTCAGATTCAATATACAGCAGAGACTTCCATAACTCAATGACAAGATAATGCAAAGACAGTTGAGGATTATGTATGTAGCCAAAAGTTGAAAACTTAGAATTGGAATCAGCTTTACATCTCTTTCACTATAAGGAATCAGCTTTACAGATCGCACAAGATGTCGAGCAATGAATCTAAAACTAACTAGATTTTCCGAATAAAAATACTCAGATTGAAGCCCACTACGTTCATAATTTTCAATGAAAGTAACTACCAACAATAACTCACTTCCACTCTGAGGGACTATCAAGAAGTCGCCGTCAGCATTACAGAACGCACAGTTCTCCATTGACTTATTGGCTGTGTACCTATACAAATGATCAATACTGTTTCAGTCATAGCATTCAACCAATGACCAGTGTGAAAGGGTATCTTTATTGCTTTCTTCCCCACCAAATCCCAGAAAAAGGTATCGAGAATATTATTTATTGGGGGGGATCAATACTCGTAAACACGATGTTTAAAATTTGTACTGTTTCGTGTTGGTAACGAACGACCCCCATGGTGGGAAAAAGAGAGTCGAACTTAAGAGATCATATTTTCTTCTCTGACAAAATATCCCACCGATAAATCCGACAAATAATACCTTCCCATAAAAAATTTACTGATTGTTAGAAAAAGATTCAAATCTAAGAAACCGTAGAAGGAATACTGATTACATACTTACATGTGAATAGCAAAACCATGCCGAAGAAACGAACTGCCGGCTCCACAAACAGTGTACAGACCATCAACGAAATCCAGCGGTGAATCAGGAACCTCCGCCGGTCTCCACCTTAGCTGAGTCGGAGTCGATGAACAATTTGACGCATTAAATTCACTGATCAACTTCTCGTTTTTAGGCAAACGAGGCCTAAACGGTTCATGCGTGACCGACGGCTTAATCCGATACAGCCAACTGCGCACCAAAAACCGAAATGCGTACACAACAAAGACACCTAAACCAGAAAAACCACACCGAGAACACGAGAAGACAAAAGAATACCTGCACATGTTGACTTTGCGAGGCGATGTGAAGGAAGTGCCAGAGATCTGCTCGGCATAGAGGCCGTAAGGGCATATCAGAGGACTGTTTTGCAATTGAGGAAGAGCACCGGGAATCGCCTCCGACGAGAAATGATTGTTGAAGCCGGACTGGTAGGCGAGGTCGGAAGGGAAATTTCCGCCGTCCATTTCGCCGACCGATTGAGCAGCCATTGAAAATGAAGAAGAATAAAAAGCAGATGAAGATGATGATCGATTGTGGAGACTATTGAAACCGGAAAACGGCACCGGAGAACACGCGGCAGTTCCAATGATCGGTGATTCCCCCACGCAACTAGATTCACGATCGAAATCACGTCATGACGTGTTCAAGAAGCTCAAGCTCACCATGTTAAAAGATAGAGATGAACTTGAAATTGCATTTATATGGTAAAAACAACCCATTTGGATCTTTTTTCAGTTCCACGCTTTTAAATTCTTTATTACTTTAATACCTAATTAATCATTTCATAATATATATATATATATATATATATATATATATATATATATTAAATTTATCTTTAAATATCTTTTAATTTTTTAATTATTTTTAATATTAAAA